CAGCTGAAGCTAAAATGATCACATACAGTTAAAATTAGCAAGACAAAAGCTAAAGGCTAAAACCAGCGCAACAAAAGCTGAAAGCCATAATTATCAAAACAGTTGGCTGAAAGTTAAAATGATCTAAGCAGTAACTAAAAGCTAATATAAGCAAAATAGTGGCTAAACGAGTTAGATGTCAAAGAACACAAAGATTTTAAAGACTTGAAGAAATCTGTGCATTTCTATAAAAATATAAATGAAATGTAGGGGCAGCACGGTGGCGCAACTGGTAGAGCTGCTGCCTCTCAGCGAACAGGTCCCTGGTTCAAATCCCGGTCCAGGGGCCTTTCTGGGCGGAGTTTGCATGTTCTCTTCAGGTACTCTGGTTTCCTCCCACAGACCAAAAACATGCATGTTAGACTGATTGGTAACTCTAAATTGTCCCTAGGTGAGAGTGAGAGAGTGAATGGTTGTTTGTCTCTTTTGTCTCCATTTGGCCCTGTGATGGACTGAAGACCTGTCCAGGGTGTACCCCGCCCCTCGCAGTGATCGCTGGCCATGGGCACCGGTGACCCCCGTGACCCAAAATGGAAGAAGCGGATAAAAGATAACGGGTGGATGTAAATGAAATGTAATACCGTACTTTCCGCCATACATGTTGCATCGCCGTATAAGTTGCATCAGTCCAAATATGTCTAATGAAGTAGACAAAAACATAAATATGTTGCTTCGCTGCCTAAGTCTCATCTATTATGCATCATCACTGACAACCTGGAAATGTGGGCCGGTGTTGTGCCAAAAATCGATTGGCTGCCAAATAGCGTCCGTGGGAGCTTGCACGGGAGGACTTTACAAGAATTTAACAAGATTAACACTTAAAAACAATTATTTGTTTGCTCGACATTATCGTAAAGGTGTGTCTCAGTTGAACTTTTCCTTAATAAATGTGCTTTAATGATCAAATCAGCTGCATTTCGCATGGGCGGCGCGGTGAAATGCAGCTGATTTGACATTTGCTCCAGGAGTTACGAAGCGAGAGAAAGGTGGCTTGGTATGGCAAACCAAATGTCTCATTAATAGCCACTTTTACATATTAATGACACATGTGGCTTGCTACATTAATCGAGTGCCCTCTAGTGGCTGAAAATGGTAGTGTTCAATTTTTTCCATGTCTGAATGAATGAAATCGTCAGATCTCAGCCAAATATTGGGTTATAAATATGGGGAAAAAAACAGATATTAGTCACTTTGGAGTATAAATCGCAGGACTTGCAAATTTATGCAAAAAGGCGTGATTTATACAGCAAAAAATACAGTAATTAAAAAGTTTAAAAGTTACAAAAAATAAATAAATTGAAAAGTCATAGCCACGATGTCTTGAATGAGCCGTAAGTTTTGATACCTGAATGGCTCAAGGTATGCTGAAGTAGCTAGAGTCTAAAACTGGAAAAGGAACTAAACAGGGAAACAGTGTAAATATTCTGAGGCAGAGGTCACCAAACTGTGAGCAGGAGCTTCAAACCTGCAGCCTCTCCACACCCAAGGTGTTGGAAATATCTCCCGGAGTCGTGTTTCGCTCGCTGGTATCTCTGTTCTGACCCGAGAACATCCCCAGGAAGGAGACAAACGACAAACTGACCTGGAAGTTTCAGTCCTGATCACCTGACTGAAGATGATCAAATATGACTACAGCAAAGACAACTTTTTATCACAAAACTAACTGAAAATTACGTTTTGTGTTCCGTGTCAGATTTATAATCTGATATTTAATTACCGGACTCAGACAAATGGAAAAATAAAGAATTTAAATGAGTTTTAGGTCTGCTCCTTTTAAGAGCCGGCTTGTTTTTTTTTCCAACCGCGGAGCCACAGTTTTATCATTTTAAAATTAAAACCAGTTTTACTGATTCTATCACGTCATTAAATTAAAATGTGTGATAAAAGCTTTGAATGGAAGAAGGAGCAGGAAATGTGACGTGGGAGCTGAGATGGTTAAAAGTGCACGTTTGAGCGCTCGTGCGCGGTGCTGAATGCTGATTGGAGGCACTAAAACAACCAAACTGCCATTTTCATAACGACAGGCGGACAGCGCTTAAACGAGCTTTACAAAACATTTCAGAGTGACAGACGTAACCCAGTATACAGTTTAATTCAGTCTTCATGGAGGGAGGATTATAATCCTGAATAATCTCACGCTCACGTGGAAACAACAGACGTCCATCTGACCAGGGAAATAAAAAGTTGAAGGAGACGTAAATATCTGGAATAAACTTTCTCCATCTTCTACCCCCCTCTCCAGAGTTGGGTCCAGGAGAGAAACCCAGATCTCTGCACAGTCTCCTCCTGGACCCTGAGGTGTTCCCAGACCAGAGAGGAGAAATAATCCCTTCAGAGAGGGTCTGTCCCGGGGCCTCTTTCTAGTGGGGCGTACCCAGAAAACCTCCAAAGAGAGGCAGCCATTTCAGATGAACCTCCTCAACTGACTCCTTTAGATCCAGAGGAGCAGCAACTCTGCGCCGAGATCCTCCCGGGTGATGGAGCGCCTCCTCCTTTCTCCAAGGCTGAGCCCCCCCCCCACCAATCCTACAAAGGAAGCTCATTTCAGCTGCTTGAATCCAGGATCTGGTTCTTTCAGTCCTGATCCAAACCTCATGATCATGTGAGGGTTGGAACAAAAATAGGCCAGTAAATCCGGAGCTTTGCCTTTCGACTCAACTCTTTCTTCACCACGATCGACCGAAGCAACGCCCTCATTACTGAGGACGAGATCCCAGACCGGCGCTCCATGACTCTGGAACAAGACGTCCAGAAACCTGAACCCGTTCACTGTAACTGGACCAACATTATTTTCTGTAACTCAAATAAAATAAAATAGAAGCAGGAAAATATTTCGTTTATTTTTTCTTCCACATGTTTTCAAAAATCTAACCGCTTCTGCAGACTTGTCATTTTAGCTGTTGCAAATCAAAACGTTCAGCTCGTTCAGCAGACGGGTGCTGCAACTTTTTTTTTTGTAGCCTTTATACTTATATTTTAATATTTTACCTTTATTTACAAATACTTTCCTCACAGAAATGCACTGAGATCTTTGTTGTTTCTTCAAATTACACATAGGCCTGTCACGATAACAAATTTTGCTGGGCGATTAATTGTCTCAGAAATTATTGTGATAAATGATAATATTGTTTGAAATTTGTCAATAATTATTAATTATTGTAAAATTTAAGAAGAAATGTTGGTTAATTTATTTTGCATGTAGTACCTTTTTTGACCACTGGGTGGTGGTATAAGACTGAACCGAAGGATGGATAGTGAGGGAGTGAGAAGTGTATCTCTAAAAAAATGGGAGGGAGGCCCCTTGACATGACATGGGCTTATTCTTGTTTTTTGGTTCTCAAAATGGCGGACGATCGGTGTGGTTTGAGCTCGTTAGCATTTGTCACACAAAGCTTTTAATAATAATAAATAAATAAAAATCGGTAAACAAGTTCTCAGCTTCTTTTTGCAGAGAAAAACTTTTTATAAGAAGGCACGGGTTTCAACTGTGAATTTTGGATCTTTGACAAGACGGAGGTTTTTCCCTGAGGTCGGCCTGTTAGCTTAGCTGCTTTTAACAATCCCAAAACTCGATTCTGGACGGTTAAAATGGATTTGAAAGTGAGGGGTCAGTGAAGAGCACTGGAGCGATGTCATCCAGTGTCTTCAGTAGAAAGAGACACAAAAACGATAAAGCTGATAAATGAAAATGAGGTCGATAATTTTAATTTATCAAGCGATTAATTGATATATTGTTTATCGCGACAGGCCTAAATACACGTTTGTCATATGCTACTTTTAGCTTTACCTACTTTAAATTTCTAACCAGACCTTTGATACTTTTAGCTAATGTTTGGCTACTTCTGTTTGCCTTTTCCTATTTGTTTTTCACTTGTAGCTAGTGTTTTGCTCCTTAAGTCTTTAGCTAATGATCTGCTACATTTTAGCTTTAACGACTAAGTTCCAGCTCACCAAAGTTCACGCTCAATAATCCAGGTAAAAATCGAATGTTCAGTCAAGTCATAAGTTTCAGCTAAATTCAGCAGCCATTCAGCTCTCAGGGCTCACACTGTATTATCACAGTAAATGTATTTGTAAGTGCTTTATCAGTCATGTGATGATCTAAAGCAGAAAGAACGTCCTCGACCTGCACAGGAACTAAAATTGAGAAATAAAGCCTGAAACTTTGAAGCCAGAGGGACTTCACTAAGAAAGACACAGATTCATGAAGCTCTGAGAGCAGAAGTGTGATAAAAACAGCTGACAGAAGCGACGTCAGCATCACTAATCGGTTTGTGACCGCTCCGAGATGCAGCTCTTTGTCAGTGTTTAGTTTAAACCCCCACCCCAAGGAGTCTTCTCTGCAGGCTGCCCAACACTCAGCCTGAATGTAAAAGTACAGTAGGAACAACTCGAGATTTGAGATCAGAATCTAACCAGAACCAGTTTTTCTAAAAAGGTCAGACAACTCTCCCTCAAGATCCATTCCAGATGTACTGAAAACATCTGGAAACTAGAGTTTATCAGAGCTAAGAAGAACCAGACATCAGACCCGTCTGTCCTCAGCAGCGCAGTGATCTACAGAGCTATGTATAGAAACTGTGACCTCTGGTCCAGTTCTGCAGCCCCGAGTCTCGCAGTGTTTACATTGAAGCCTCGGCTATACGATCCCGAGCGTGACGCTCCCGCAGGCAGCTTCTGGGTAAACATGAGCTCAGCGGATTTCTGCGCCTTCATGGGACGATTCAGCGAACAAAGGAAAGGGTCCGGTCACTTTCGCAAAGGACGTGTTTACAGTAAACTAGAGGAACGTCTGCTTCGTCAACTGAAGGGATGTTGACAGGAAAAGCATCGAGGCGCTAAAAATACCCTGAAACCTCTTGACTTTGAAGTGAAACTGAAACTGCCTCCTTTGGTCATGTCTGATGAAGAAATGAACCCCGTGAATAAAATTTCCTAACGATGACAGATCCGTGTCTTACCTAGCAGCTGGACCCCGCGGGTCAGTCCGTAGACATCGATGAGGGCCCAAACGGGCTCAGCCGTGCGGACTCCGCTGAAGAACAGCATGGGACTGGACTCGTTGATCCGGTAGAAGACTCGGCCCTTCTTGTCAACCCAGAAGGCGATGACATTTCCCTCGTTGGCGAACTCCTCGGGCAGCGCCTTGGCCCAGAAGCTGCTCTGGGACACCAGGTCTGGGCAGGCGTACTTGGGCAGGTTGTCTGGGTTGATCCTGGACGGGTCTTTGGAGGTGAAGCCCAGACGCAGAGCTCCGCTCCAGCAGCACTGCTTTTTAGTGATCTGAGAAAACGAGGAGATCCATAAACGAAGTCTGGTATAACAGATCCGAAAGGAGTTGCAGAAAGAGAAAACGATACCTTGAGGCGGACTTGCTCGTACAGCGCGATGGGCCGGTTGCTGAAGGTGATGGCGTTGCAGAAACTGGCCCGTCTCTTCACGGTCTTCTGAGCCAGGTCCATGATGATCTGGGACCCCTTGGCATTCGGGTGGAAAAGAAGAGGACTGACAGGAAGAGGCCCGCCGACGCTGCCGCAGTGGATCGGCAGGCATCTTTTGGGTTTGTGGTGACACCGGTGGGACGTGGACGGGAACGGACCGCCGAGGGAGTCTGAAGCAACAACAACAACAAAAAAAGCAGTTTGAACTCAAAATACCATCAGAAAGTTTGAATCAGGACTGAAATTATTCATTCAGGCGACTTTGCACGTGAGAAATGACAAGTTGAGATGTTTCCAGAAGAACATAGACCAAAAGTTCAGCTGCTGCTCTCAAACAAACCTTTCGTTCACTCTGTCTCCGTCAGACACAACAGTGCATGAGGTTGTGACAAGAGAGAGGACAGCAGCTTTTACTGCAGGTAATCGAGGATAAAAGGTTGGGAACAACAAATGCTAGTTGAAGAAATAATCAAGTCCTGCGTATATTGTAAATTTCTTGGGGGAAAATGAAAGTTGGTCATATTTCCAGCAGCTTAAACTCTTCAAGTCTTCACTTAAAGAACGTTCTGCAACAAGCAGACAATATGAAATGCAACAAATGGACAAAAACTTATTAAAAGTTTTAAATCTCTGACCAAAAGTCACAGCTGAACCAAAGTTAAGACGCAAATCGTGCATAAAACCAAGTTTTTCAACCCCATAAACATTAACAGATTATTGAAATTATTTACCATACTTTCTGCCGTACACATCACACCGCCATATAAGTCGCATCAGTACAAAAATATCTAATAAAGTAGAAAAAAAATGCTGTTTCGTCATATACGTCGCATCTATTATGAGCCATCGCTGACCACCATGAATCGTGGGCCGGTATTGAGCCAAAAATCGATTGGATGCCAAATGGCAGCCGTGGGAGAGTGCACTGGAGGACTTTAACAAGAATTTAACAAGATTAACACTTAAAAATCATTATTTGTTTGCTCGACATTATAGCAAAAGGTGTGCCTCAGTTAAACTTTTCCTTAATAAATTCACTTTAATGATCGAATCAGCTGCATTTCGCCTGGGCGGCGCGGCGAAATGCAGCTGATTTGACGTTTGCTCCAGGAGTTCCGGAGCGAGACGAAGATGGCTTGTATGGCAAGCCAAGTGTGCCATTAATAGCCACTTTTACCTATTAATGAGACACTTGGCTTGCCATATAGGTAGAGGGCCCTCTAGTGGCTGAAAATGGTAGTGTTCAATATTTTCCATGTCAGATTGAATGAAATCGTCAGATCTAATCCAATCTAATGTATGGGGGAAAAAAAATGTAAATAAGTCGCTTCACCCTAATAGTCGCAGGGCATGCAAATTTATGCAAAAAGTTGCAACTTATATGGAGAAAAGTACGGTAATTCGGTCTTTCCAGGACCTAGAGCCTGTTGCAGTTATCAAAACACCAACCGATCATACACGATCGAACCATTTCTCTGAGGAGGTACAGACTGGTGGTATTTAGGTGATTTTCATTCCTGATTTCAGTCCAACATTTTTGTAATAATCAGGCGCCCATGAAAACAACCGTGAGCCGCCTGCCACCCTCCATCACGCACTTCAACCCAAAGCCCGGCAGCAAAATGAACGAGCGGTCCTGAGAGGAGCGCAGACTCTCCAAAGCTGCTAATCTGCAGATAGAAATGATGTCGTTAGTTTTCTACAACCGAGCAGAAGCCGGGGGAGACTCCTAACCTCATGGTGTGCAAGAACTTCTTGTCTGAGTGGTCCAACATTCACGAGAGGACGCCCTTTCTCTGGAGTTCAGGTTTTCCATCAGGCGATCAGGATCTTTCTCACATTTGACTTTTTGTTCAACCTGCAGGAGACGTTGGCTCCTGAAGCAACAACCTTCCATTATGTTGGAGTTTGGACCGGTCGGGTTCCCATCGGAGCAGAACTTCTGTTCATATCTGTGATTGCTGCCTTGAAAACAAAAACGTTTCTGGTTTGAGAGAAGCTTGATGTTTACTTTGGATTTCTCAGACTGGTTTTTTTCTTCTTCCAATCCAACTCCAGTTCAAATATTTCATCGTATGTTTGGATAACTGTCCGTGAAAACACCGATCATCAATCAGCGAGATTAAATGCAAGATAAGACATTCCTTACAAAAATGAGGCTGTAACGGCAAAGTCAAACTAGAGAAACTGCATTTCCTGCAAAAATGTGGTGAATGCTTATTGCAGAAGAACTTGCAGAAAAACAGCTGAAATTAACTAAAAGCCTGCTTAAATGTAGAGGAAATAGAAGAAAAAGCCTAAATTAGAAGAAGAAAGCAGAAAGAACACATATTTGCTGAATTAGGTTTAATTAAGTACATTATTAAGCAGAAATGAGCACAAAAATGAGGAAATTAGCTAAAAAAAGGCTGAATTTAGCAACAACAACAAAAAAAACAGCTGAAAAGTAGCTGAAAATGCAGAAAGAAGCTTAAACTACAGAAGGAAGTGGAGAGAGCACATTTTTGCTGAATTAGGCTGAAGAAGGTTTAAATGAGTGCAGTTACTGAAAAACCTAAAATTAGCATAAAACAGCTAAATAGTAGCTGAAATAGCAGAAAAACTGAAACTTGCAGAGAAAGCTGAAAAGAGCATAACAAGCTGAAATTAGTAGAAAGAAGTTAATTAGGCTGAAAATAGCAGAAATTACCACAAAAACTATCTGAAAACAGCTGAAAGTAGCCAAAAAAAATAAAAGTTGAAATTTGCACAAGGAAGCTGAAAGAAGCTGAAGCAGAACAAAATATGAAAGGAGCAGTAAAATGTTATAAACACATCTAAAGATTTGAAGGATGTAAAATGAGCTCAGTTCATTTTCTATGAGGAAAAAATGGCAGAAAAGGCTAAATATTTCAAAAAGCTAAAGTTGCACCAAAACCAAAAGTCCTAGCAGGATTGTCCAGAACGAGCTGAACGCTTTGATTTATGATTTGTTGATAAAAAACAAAAATTGTTAAAGACGCTGAAAAATGTATGTAAGAAAAATGGATCACAATAGATCGTAAACATTCGCACAGTGACGGTTGAGGTGACGTTTACGTCTGTTCCCCTCTCAGAGTCAGGACTGCTGCTACTGGTTTGACCACATGAAAACTGAGCAGCAGCAGCAAACGTCCTGCAGAGACCCAATAAAACCAGCAGCTACCAGTCCCAGAACCCGTCTTTCTGTCTTTGTGTCCCGTGGTTTATCTCGGACCGACCCCTTTGGTTTTACACTCCCCAAAAGTGTCTCCAGTCCAATCTGGCTCTGAAACCAAAACACCCTTTTGTTTTAGAGGAGCGGCGTGCACGGCCAGGCGCACGTGATCGCGGGCAGATTGGACTGAATGCATTAGTGGGCTCTAAAGAGGCGCAGCTGCTGTGGTGTGAATTCAGGTTTCTTAGCAACCCCCCCCTCCACCCCCCCACATCTGAAGGTCTCCATCAGCTCGGTCTGCAGCCATCAGTCGGGACACAGATGCCTTTTGTTTACCCACACGACAAATTTATATTTATAGTCCCAGAATCCAGTCGTCTGCAGCTCGTGTGTGCTTTTCCACGAGTCCTTTGAAAGGAAGACGGCGTCACTTCACAGAACGACGATCGTCCTTCATGTCACGAGTCTAACACGACATCTGATCGACCTGAGACACGTCTGGAGACGCTTCAGCTGAGCTCAGAGGTTTCCACTCATCCTGGGTCTGAAAGTCAGCCTCACTGTTTAAATGGTTTATTAGACCCATTGGTTTTTCTAGGGTGGAACAAATACACTGCCTCTTACATTTGTTTAAGTGTCTCTCAGCCTGTCTCACCTGGACCTCAGGCTCTTTGTCTCCATCTGGTTCTAGCAGGATTCTGGCTGATAGATGACCATTCTCTGCCACCACCGTGCTTCACTGTAGCGATACACGATGACAGCTGGTAGAGCAGTCTCAGACGTGGTTTCGCCCCAATGTTTGGTCTCATCTGACTGCAGCGTCTTTTCCCACATGCTTGAGAAAAAATATCAAGGATTTTTCTTTTTTTTCACGAAACTCAGCACTTTGCAGCCTACAGTGGTCCTAATGGACAAACAGGACTCCCATAAACTCCATCTTTGGCCTACTGGGATGTAAAAATTAATCATCATACACCAAAGTTAGTCATTGAGTTCCTCAAGGTTCAGTGCTTGGACAAATACTCTTTACCTTGTATGCTTCCATTATGTAATGTTATTAAACAGCATGGTAAATTTTCATTGTTATGCTGATGATACACAGTTATATTTGTCCATTAAACCCAATGAATCCAATCAGTTATTTAGACTACAAACATGTCTTAAAGACATAAAAACCTGAATGACCCTAAATGTTCTGCTTTTGAACAGAGACAAGACTGAGGTTTTAGTTTTTGGACTTGAGCATAGAATGAATTTTTTCAGTCTTTCTCCCTCCTTAGATTACATTAATCTGTCCTCCAGCTCTAATGTTAAAATCTTGGTGTTATTTTTGATCAGGACATGTCTTTTGTTCACCACATTAAAAACGTTACTAGAACTGCCTTCTTCCAGCTGCGTAATATCACTAAAATTAGAAACATCTGATCTAAAAATGATGCAGAAAAACTGGTTCATGCATTTGTCACGTCTAGACTGGATTATTGCAATGGTTTATTATCTTGGTGTCCAAATACGTCTTTAAAACGTCTTCAGTTAATCCAAAATGCTGCTGCCAGAGTCTTAACTGGAGGAAGATCTTTCAGTTATCAGGCTCCTCTCTTGTGGAACCAACTTCCAGTTTCTGTCCATGAGGCTGACACATTGTCCAGTTTTAAGACTTTCCTTTTTGATAAATCCTATAGTTAGGGTTGGCTTGTTATGCTGCTTTAGACTTAGACTACTAGAGGACAAATTGACCTGATTTCCTTAAATTAATTGTTAAAATTGAATAGTTTTCATTTGATGCTATTTCTATCTTAACATGTGATTCTTGACCTGCCATTGTGTATCTGTTCCTACCAAATCCAGCTGGTTGAAGCAGATGGCCGCTTGTCCTGAGCCTGGTTCTGCTAAAGGTTTCTTCCTCGTGGGGAGTTTTTCCTTTCCACTGTCGCCTTCATGCTTGTTCAAGATGAGAGTTCTGCGATGGCGTTAAACTCAAAGCAGTCTGCTCCT